TCTTGACCACTTTCTCAAGGGTAATAGACATTATAACCCCAAGACATGTTATAAGTAGGTTTTAGCCTGTTAGATGCATATGGTAGCGCTTGGACACCTGAATATCTGATATGCATGTACTTGTATAGGGTGGTTATGGTTGTTACAAATAGGGCTTCATAGGAGTGAGTTGTTTTTTGGGGAGTATGAGTTGCCATAGGTAGGAATTTCTTAGAACTAAGCTAAGTACACCACAATTTAATGTGTGTAGTAGTACAACTGACTTCCAGTGAAAACTATCAAACACTTAGTAATCTCATGCATTGCTTGTAAATTTCCTGTTATGTACATGTAGATCACTTTTAGAGCTTGCTGCTTTATATAATTCATAGTGTAATCTTTTAAGCTTATAATGAAAAAGCTACATTAATCAATTGTTAATTACAATGGGTAATGAGTCAAGGAAAAACAATGCAACATATAGTTGTACATTAGTGTACCATATGTATCTGTTTAGTATGTCCAAGGCAAACATCTACTGTAATTCTGTACAAATACACTGGTTACTATTACACAATATTTTTCCACAATGCAAATGAATGCTACAGATTCTATTGAAGTTAACAGTGTGTACTGCTTTAAACGATGCCACTGTGCCACAATAAGTATAGAATCTATTCAATCATTACAGCTTTACTATTCACTATGACATCGGCAGTTGTTATTGAAATCTGCTGTTCAGTATGTTCAACCCGAATAGAGACTACAACATCTATAGAAATACAATACATTTTAGATTATCAGTAAACAGTAGTTTGTTCAATGCATGATGTAGCCAATACCTTTTATTACTGTTAAAGTATATTAATAATTAGGTCATCATGTATAAATTGGCTCTCCATGTTCCTAGCATTGTAATCATTTCAATATTTATTTTAATTATGGAATATGTCATGTTACTATTATGAGTATCACAAATTAATTTGTTTGGCTAATAAAGGCTCACTATCATTTGTGTTTTGTCCTTTTGATTTATTGTTATAATGCAAGACACATAGTGCTCATTGACCTGTTTTGTATTCCAATCTCATGTGATATTATTATTTTAACTTACGAGCTACAGTTCAGGTGTCTTTATAAAATTTCTTTTTATACAATGTATTTTAGGTCAAAGTCTTCTGGAATGCTGTTTACACTTCACATCAGTTTAATAAAGGTGTGTACAATGTAGACCATTAATTTGTTGAAATAGGAAGTACTATATGTACATGTTCACCAATGTCATTTGTGTTAACACAAAAATAGCTTGTATTAAGTTATAGCACTTCTGTTTGTTATTCAATCCTCTATTTGTGTTATGTGTGTAAATCAGGCTATAGACCATGATAATACATGTATATTTTACCTGTCAAGGCCTCAAGGGGCTATCAGTATTAGGACGCATCAATAGTCCATAGATATACAAGGTAGCATATTTCCCTCAAACTGGTGGATAGTGTGCATGATTCTCCAAGTATTTATATTCTCCCTTTATTGTCCATTTTAGTGTGCATTGACTGTTTTTGCCATTTGATTATCATGTTGTAGTGAACTAATCAGTGTTAAATTACTTTTTAAGGTGTTATTGAATTTTCTGTACACTGTTACATGTACATGTATGTGTGTGGCTGGAAATAGTTTTGATAAGATTTTATGGCCTGCCTCTCTCTTTCCTGTTTTTACACTTGTTATAGTTTGTGTAGTTGCTTGTAAGGGTGCCATGATTAGGTAGTAATGTATCTTCAAATTGTACGTAATAGACCAATCAGTATAGCACTATACACTTATTACGCTTTATTATTCATTGTCAATAGGTGTCTTTAGGCCTTTGTAGCAATGCCTTTAACAATTATAGAACTTTCGACTAGTTCACAGCTTCACACAATACATTGCTTAGTTCGTACTACATGTACGTAGTGCATGTACATGTAGCTAGTCCATTTCTTTGTTTTTTAGGGAGTCTAGTATTCATCTGCTCTCAGTGCTGTGTTCATTCTTCAAATGTGTTGTTTGTACTGTGTTTAATTACTCCTACAATTGTACATGTATAGCTATTGGTTCATACATTACTCATGTAAAGTTATTGGTTTTTTGGTTTGTTAATTTGTAGTTGGACTAATTACTCCTAGTTGTTGGTTCATTAGTTTAGAATATTGGGCTGGGCTCTGTCTGAGTAGTTACTTTAAGTCAAAGAATGATAACAGCAGCTGCTATCTCTACATGTATGTGTATGTATGAGTAAGCAGCTTACTATAATTAGTAATGGATGATGATTACAAAACAGGGTTCACATCTGTTAAAGTGTTACGGATGTCTCAAAAATTATAATGTACAGAGAATTTTTTTCTACATCTTACTAGTATGGCCATATTGGCCACTAATTGGAATGCTTACATTGCTTAAAGTGTAGCAAGAATTTGCACCTTTAAGACTAACTCCTATAATGAAATCATGTATCCATTTTAGAGCTATAGGTCTATGCCTAATATAGAAGACATCGTTCTAGATAGAATTGCATTGCTATAAGTGTACTCTAATTTTATCCTTGCATGACTCTATACAAATGTTTATAGCAATAACTTTTAATGTGACAAACATAGATTTATTATACATGTACTTGTACATGTGTATTTTATCAATCAATTAATTAAGGACAGAATCGCTTAATTTTGGCTGTAATAGTCATTGGTTTGTTATTTTTCAGAAAATTTTAGTATTCATTTGTCCATTTAGGTTGTTAAAAAACTGAGATGATTGCCAAACTCCCTGAACTGCTACGTGATCTGTGAATCTAATCTATAAAATGTAAATAACAATTACTTAAAGAACGAGTATGTTTTTAACTTTTAGATGTGATGATTTTGATGAATGATTTTGTGTCAAATCAATACATTTAAGTACATTTTTATTCGCATCATTGTTAAATTTAATTATTTTTCAATGTAAATAATCAAGTCAGTTGCACATTGTTCAAGATATTTGTCCACTAAGTTCCTATACAAAGTACATAGTGTACATAGTAAATATAAACTTATTTCATTGAACTAACCTTGTGTAAGTCATCAAATGCTCTACTTGAGTGCAATCTGACACTTTCTCTAGCTTTTTTGAAATATTCACTTGCCACTTGAAAATATGCAGTATCACTTTTGTCTTTACCGCTCTGGTATCCATATTCTTCAACAAGTGCACTATAGTAATTGATTTATGATGATTATTCATTGCATTAATACTGTACCTGTCAAGGGGTGTATCAATATCAGGACACATCAACAGTCCATAAATGTAGCTCAGTATTTCTCTCATACTGGTGGAGGGTGTGTATGACTCTCCAAGTATTGCATGACATATCCTCCCACTGCTCCCACTAACATTGCAATGATATATCTATGACAGTAGTAGAATAAAAAATGTTTGTGTACATGTACAATGTAACCATACTTGTGTAAGAAAGCGTATTTCAGGTTGGGTATAGGGATATTTTTTAGGAAATTCAACACTCAGAGCAAATACTCCTAAAAAGTAATTATTGTTGTATCACAATTGCAATGACAGAGTTAACCTCTTGAATAAGCACTTTCATTTGGGACAAACATCAGCACTTTCCATTTCAAATAACTGTGATTCATTAGTAAAGTAATGCACCTACGGTAGATTATGGTCTTACCTTGTTTGACTTGGATAAACTGTTATGCTGTCATGAGGATTATGCATGAACTCTTTAAGTTCTCTTAATATCCTTCTTTGCTGTAAACCCTTTGGTGTTTCTTTTAACTGATCTATGTGGCTTTGAGTAACACAAGTAAAGGTAGTTTGTCAAAATGTATTGAATTACCTTTTCATTGATTGTGTCTTTACTTTGTGAAATGCTTCAATGTAACTTGATTTAAAGCTAGTCTCTGTTTCATATGGATGACGGTTGATATTTTGCAGCATGCTTAAATCAGTCTGTATAAAGGGAATTACAGTTGCATACCATTTCATAATTACTGGATATTGTCTAGGCACCCTTTCACTCAGTGAGAGCATTGCATCTAATTCAAAGTATCTGAGTGCTTTCTGCATTGTTTTAGGGAGAACACAAACACCTCCTGTATGTATGTGGTGTGTTTGCAATGACTTTGATAGTACAATTACATAGTAAAACCTATTGCATGAGAGAATGAATTGTGTTCTTTATTATCTTCAGGGAATGTCAGTAAAACAGTATCTACAATTACATTGCTATCTTGAGTCTTTTTCTTGCAGTTGCATGCTTAGAATAATGAAAGCTAATAATCCCAACCTTTAAATTGCTAATATTACATTACAAGGCATGAAAATAAAGAATTATTTCCCCCTATAAAGGAATGGAGTTATCTGCATCAATGCCTCTTATGATGTCACGTTTAGCCACACCCACCGACAGGAAGTAAATTGGCAGGAAGCAAAAAGTGCATCTTTGAAGGCTCATATCTCAGTGAATAAATTTTTTTAGACAATGGAAGTTGGAACACATCATTATTATGGTCAGGCAATTATATAAAGATCATAAAATAAATACCCTAAAAAATCACTACACTTACACTTTAATATGGAATAATACCAGATACCTGCATGTATGATGTATATTATTATTATGTACTTTTGTAGATGACAATGCAGTTGCATATAAAGCTTCAGAGATGTTCTGTCTATCAGTTAAACAAATTATTCTCCTAAAATTAGTTTCAGTTAGTATAATTTACATTGAATCTTGCCTTTTACAATTAAATTGTTTAAGTTGCTGAACAGCACTAACAACTGCAGCTCTCAATTCTGTTGAACCTCTTATCTTAATGTCATTCAGAGTAGTCTGTTACCAATGATATACATGTATGTGAAATATGATTTTTGTACCTCAAATTCTTCAGTGTTGAATTTCTTTGTGATTTTTAGTTTAACAGTGACTTCTGACCCAAATATAGTTAGTCCTAGTGCATGGTGCAGCTTATATGCTTGTGTACGTGTTGCAAAACTGTTGAACAATTGTTTAGCAGCATCAATCCTCTTCATATTCCCAATTCTATGTTTCTGCTCTAAAAGTTCAAAATACTTAAACACTTACTCTTTGAAAACTACATTTCCCATAGAACCAGAACCACGCTGATCCAATAGTATCTGTGACAGAACCATTATATTTGTATGTACATGGTGTGTGTACATGTCTAATTTTTTACCAAAATTGCTTCTTCTGTTTCCCATTGTATACCTTCTTTAGGTGAAATGATTGCAGATTTTCTACATAATTGCCCTTTCTTATTTTTATATTACCAAAATGGATATACCTTATTTCATCATAATTTTGAATTCTCTCACTGCCTTCATTGATGACTCCTTTTATATCAGATATAACTTGCATTTTAAGGCCTGAGCTAATAATTTTATTATCAGCTAAAATTTAACTGCTATAATTCTAACTTTCCAATTTTCTCAAGGTCAGATTTGTGTATCACTTGTTGATAGCCACTTTCAGCACTAGCACATGCATTGTAGAATTTTTGTTTTTTGTCTGTATTTTTTTGTTGAGCCAAGAAAGTAGACTAGATGTGCTTTAAGTGTGCCAAACATAAATCTGAAGTTACTCAGTGGCAAACCTTCACTATTGTATGTTAAACATTCATCACTGTATAATCCTTGAGGAATCTGGATATGTAGCTCTGTTAATGAGTGTAGCATCTCATACCACTTAAAAGGCATTTCCACCTTTTTACAAACTCTATACAGTTATAAATGATAAATTTATATCGTAATTTGTAACTGACTTTAGTATCTCATTCTTTGGTGGATTTGTCCATACACATACTTTTTTATCTGTTTCCCAAGGAAAACACATGAGAAGTTTAGCAGTCTTGACGTCTGGTTTTAGTTGTTCTTTTGTAAGCTTGCTGAAAAATTCAATCATTGGCTCGTCATCTGCCAATAAAAAGAATACCATACTTTTTTATTTTTGTGAGCTGCATAGTTAACCATACTTTCAATTTTGGTTAGGATGTTTTCCTTATCAAAAGGATCTTGTGTATTATCTGCAGCTACACGTACTGGAAAATGTATCCTTGTTCCTGATAAAGGGCACACTAGTGAGCAGTAGTGTGTTTTAACATTTACTGTACATGCCTCGTCTATCTCCTACATGGGCATATAAATATAACAATAATGTGCTGTCTTGCATGGACTAAGTGGCAGTTGTATTGTTTTTCAACTTACATACGATTTGTGTATTAACATAGAGAAAATATAATCTGAATATTCAAAAATATGATCTTTACTCACTATGTGTAAAAATGAAATACTGCAATACCTGCTCATACCTGTAGCAAAAGTGTCAAGAATTGTTTTGAAAAGCAAGTAGAAACCCTCAATTAATTCTGTCTGTATATCAAAGAAAAATATAGATACAGCATTTAGGTAGTTAATAGAACTTAACCAGCCAGATATTGTGAGGAATGAAAATTCTTTCAGATTTTGTAATGAATAAATTAAAGGAGGGAAATCAGTGAATGTCATTAAGTAAGACAGGAATTTTTCAAAGTCATAGCCTTTATTAAGGGGCTGAAGTGAGCACTATAATTGTCACATGCACAATAATAAATAAATTAAATAAACAACGTACGATGAATTTAAGAATTGAGAAGAATTTTGTGATTCCTTTTTTGGTTTGTGGTACCAAAAAATTATAATTTTGACAGCCATAATTGATTGACTGGGGCTGGACAATTTCTAATGGGTTTCTCAATGCAACCCTAATGCGATCTCCATATTTCAGTTCTGTAAATGCTGTCACTCGCTCATAAATATGTCCTTGGCACCTTTAGTCATACATTTTATAAACTCACTTTAATTTGTACTACCATATAGCGGGTTTGTTTCGTGAGGGTAAACTTTTGTTTTCCATCCTCAAAATGACTTTTGTGAGGTTAAACATTCGTTCTGAAGACGTTAATAAGCTACCACACCTATTAAAACTAGAATTTCGTTTGGTTAATTGTTCGTTCTCCCATCTTGAAGAATGAAAAGAACAAAAGTTTAGCCTCACGAAACAAACCCGCTATATGGTATTGTTTAGTTTACCTCACATAAAGTGACATAAATGGAACTGGTATGTCTGTGACACTAAACTTTTTGTGCAATGTCTTCAGGAGAATCACAATCCATGTTTATAGTTAACTGGGAAGGAACCATGGAAAGTAGTTTCAATTACAAAAGTTTCCTGACCTATACTTTATTTAATTGTTACATTTAGATTACTTTTGAGTCTTACCTATTTTATGATTTAATTTAGGTAATGAAATAAATTCCTTTATTTTATGTGGTTGCTCTTTTGATCGTCTTAATACATAAAATAAGTCACCATCATCTGTTTTCCATGACCTTAGAGTGCCTAGTATAATGCATAACTGGATGGATGCAGTTAATATTTAATAATTGGGGCGAGCATGAGCGAGACCCACACTAATCTGTCTAGGTCTACAGTGGAACCTCTGTATAACGGTCACCATTGGGAACTGGTCCTTTGGCTGTTATAGAGGGGTGGTCTTTATTGAGGGGTTTCAGCTTAAAGTGTCGAACTTAAGAAATATTTAACTGTGTTGCCTTCTTAAGTATCTTGATTTATTCCTCAGGTCAATAACAAGTACAAAGGTCCTGAAGGTAGTGTGCAAGAGATAGCAGGGAAATAAGCGAATTACAGCAAGAAAGAAAGGGAATGCTCAAGTTTTCAGCCATTTTATTTAGATGGGTGGGGCTGTAGGTGACGTTTTATGATGAAAACATCCGGTCTAGGTGTTGGGTGTGGCCACATGGCCGTTAAAGAGAAGTTTTTCTCAATGCTTTATGCTGTGTTGGGGACGTTTTGAGTGCTCGTTATACGCAATAGAGAGGTGGTCGTTCTTCAGGGGTTGCCTTAACAGGCAAGTAAGTGTAGTTTGCATCCGGACCTAGACATTTGGCCGTTATATGATAGACGGCCGTTACTTAGAGGTGGTCGTTAAGCGAGGTTCCACTGTATTTGCGTTACGTCTTGTTTATGAACGGAAGAATACGAAAATTAAATTAGTATACTATTATTGATAAATTTGGACCACGTGGGCAAAATTAATCTAGAGGGTGTGGTCAAAAAGAGCAAGATGGCGGAAATTTTAACGTGACAAACTCATGGATTGAGTTTCTAACAGTTAGATAAGAGAGAGGGGCTGTCTAAAGCATCTCTAAAGGCTGAAGAACTTAAAAGCAGTTTGATCTAAGACTTCTCTAGATTATATTCCTCTCATTGAAAGAATTATAATTGTGAGAGAAGCTTGATTAGAAGTTTAGCTTGGCACTGGCATTTCTCAGAATAGCAGGACAGTTCATTCTTGTCTTTTTTACTGGGTCATTTTGGTCAGTTGTGTTAAATGGTGTGTTTGCTCTGTTCAGACCCTGTTGGGCCATAAGGATGGGGTCTGAAATTCTGAATATGCATGCACACTAAGAGCTGGATTGATTTTATTTAGTTCAATCTTATTTCAAATGGTAATTGATGGAAGCTAGTAGATTAGAAGTTTAACTTGATACATTTTCTCAGTGTGGCAGGACTCATTCTTGTCACTTTTACTGGGTTATTTTGGTTGTGTTAACTGGTGTGTTTGCTCTTTTCAGACCCCGGCCATGAGGCCGGGGTCTGAATATGCATGCAGGCTAAGAGCTAGATTGATTTTTATTTAGTTCAATCATATTTCAATTGTTTTTATTAATGGCTCATGCTCGCCCCCACAATGTTTACATTCACCTAGTTTAATTACCTTGTCCTGTTATTTCATTATTGGACTCGCCGCGTAGGCGAGTATTAGGTAGTTTGGTTGTCTGTTACCATGAATAGAGGTTCTGCGCGAGTCAATTAATTAATGCACTTCCTTGACAACCGTTGCTATCCGCCATGTTGGGTGTCTGAGAGCGCGATAATTAGCACATGGGTGTACGTGGTTGCAATGCCTGGACACTCTTGTTGTATTATAAACTGTGAAAGCAGGTCTAGCCTGTCATCTAGCTCATCTTCTACAAGATTCTTTAGAATTCCTAAAGTAATTCATCATCAGGGAGAGCAGACAAAGTGTCTTAGTGAAAGAAGGCTCACTACCTGGCTAAGCAGGATTAATAGGAAAGGTTGGAGTCCAAAAGAGCACAGTAGAATATGCTCACTTCATTTTGGACAAGGTATCATAAATATAGAATTACAATTTAATAGCATAATACTGACAGGAGAGCCTGCATCTCTGTATGCAGTGAATGACCCTGACTGGGCACCCTCTCTTAACTTGGGTTATACACAGTATGAGTCACAAGTTCAGTATGAGGCTGTTGCGTTGTAATAATAAGAAATCAATTTACAAAACTTAACTGTAAATGTATGTGTTAACACACTTAATAATAACAGATGAGTTAGAGTGGAAGAGACAGTGAATATTAATAATGATGAAAT